CTCTTCTCCTCTTCTTCCTTCATAAGTTTAGCCCTGGCCTTCTTCCTCTTTTTATTCTCCTTTTCCCTTTCCCTTTTCCCCTTACCCTTTGTTTCGGGAGCTGTGCACTTCTCCTTGGGGGAGACCGTCCCATTCCTTTCCTTTCCCGGTCCTACAAGGAGAGTGGGTGCCGAGGTTCCCATCGCTACAGCCGCCCCGCCTCCCGGGCCAGCAGTCGTAAGGCGGTCGACCACGGCTTTGAGCCGGTCAACCTCCGCCCTGCAACCGTAGCCCGGGAACTGGGCTCCCATAGCGTCATCCAGCTCCCTTTCAGCACCTCTCGTTCTTTCCTTGGAGGGTGGAGTTTCTTTCATCTCCTCCATGACATCGTCCAACGATGGGATTTCTGAATCTCCCCCTTCCCTTCCCACTGTCCTAATGGAAGTGGGAGTGGAGGAAGAGGCTATCCTCGTCCTCTTCTTCCTTATCCTCTTTCTCCTCTCCCTCTCCTCCCTGACCCTTTCCCCTTCTTCGCTCGTCGTACCCGACGATGATCCTACCGTCACCTCCGCATAGGATCTTCGATCCGGAGGAGCTGGAGTCGACGAAACGACAAGTCGTTTCGTCGACTCCAGCTCCTCCGCCAGCCGCCTGTTCTTCACCCTTACCTTCTTTAGCTCCGCCCGGAGTTCTTCTGCCTCCTTTTCGGCCAGGGTGATGTCCCTCTCTTTTTCTCTGCTGGCCACTCTGGCCATTAAGGTGGTGAGCACGGCCTCGGAGATCCCCACGGCACGATTCAATGCTCCCACGAAGGTCCCCTTCAGGGTGTTGGACCTCCGTGAGACCAGCCGAATCGTGCCCAGGGCGCGACCTACCTCCGAGGCCAGCTCACTCACCTTCGCTTCCCTCAGGAGCTCCTTCGCGGCACTATCCCGGAATACCTCCTCCATCGGTCGTTTATCTCCCAGGGACCGGAATATTCCAGCATCCAATATGGCCTGGACCTCCTTTTCAAGTCTGGCCCTTTCCATATCTTTCTTCTTCTCTTCTTCCGCCGCCTTTTTTCCCTAATCTCCATGCCCTTGGCGGTAACGATGGGCCTGCCGTGTCCCCTTTTTACCTGTTCGAGCACGGGGCCCGTGGTGACGACACACGAGCCGCTGCTGCCGCGGTCAGTGGAGCCCATCAACTCCCTGGCCCTCTTCCTCTGTCCTTCCCTTTATCGGGGTATGGGGATTCTCGAGCCCTGTGAGAGCAGGACATCGGAGAGGATCACTGGTCCGATGGTGGATCGCTCCGATGCCCCTTCAGCCCTCACAGGCCTCGAGGTCCCTACCTCTCGACTCCTCTTCTGTTGCTGCTGCTCCTCCTCCTTGTTCTCAGGGAGTGATGGGAGGGGTACATCCTTTCCCCTCTTGGAACAGAGGGGACTGGGTCTGGTGGTCGCCAGTGACGAACTAGGACCCCCAGACCCCGATGGTTTACAGGTCCCGCGTTGGGTACCGCTCGCATAGACCTGCCCGGCGAGCTCACCGCGCCACCTCCACGGTCGGAGGAACGCTTCCCCGAGGGCGGTGGTCGACCCTCACTTTTAGGCAGCACCCCAGCGGCTATTCCACTGGGGCCTGCATGCTCTTCCTCCCCAGGGGGCGGGGAGATGGCACCTGCCGGTAGATTTCCTACCACCTCTAAACCCCCTTTCCCTTCCTTATAAAAGTCACTCTCCGAAGAGAGTGGTGAGTCCTCGGACGGGTTGCTACACCCGTCCATACGGGACTTTGAGCCCGAAAGCTCGGAGTTTTTGTTTTTAAAAACGGAAATCTTCATTGCTGTTTCCACGAGTGCGGCAGGAAATGGGCGTCGACCCCGGGTAGAGCCCCCGCATTACCCGGGGTAAGGCTAGCTCGTCCCTGGGGTTCGCCAGGTGCCCCCAGGTGAGGAACCACTTGCGACAGGTCACGCACCTGCCATTCATCCCATAAGCGTGGCATGCCTCAACCGTAGGATTACGTGGTGATTTATAGAGGACCCGCCTCGCGGTCCGGCCAATTAAGGCAAGACCCCCGGCCCCAGAGACATGACCTAGGGTTACGGTGTGGTAGGCTAGGGTCTGCCGGGGATGCCTGAGCCCCCTGTACCAGAGTGCCGAAGCACCCTGGCCCCTCGCAATTGTATCAGGTTATACGTCCTGACAAGTACGGGTTTGCAATCAGGTTTTCCTTCCCCTAAAACGGTTGCCTTCACCCGGCTCACGAGCCCGTTCTGCCCGCGCTGCAGGGTCCTTTGGATCGTACAAGTACGGTCCTCCGGTCTCTGTATGAAACTCGGAGGCAGCTGCCCCTCCGAGAGTGAATAAGGACGCTCTTAGTCTGGCCTCTCAGTACAGATCTCTCCGACATGGTAGAACCTGCCAGGGGTCGAGACCCCCGCCGGCACAGCTCTGTACATCATGAAGGCACACAAGCTCCCCCACCACGTCAAGGTGGCGTCCACGGGGGGGGGGCGTGCATATTGTATCGGTGTATACGGACTGCTATGTAGATATTTAAGAGCTTGGATAATGATCTAAGACTCAATACATGTTAAATCAACGTTTGTAAAAATTATTACTTATTTGAGCTACTGTTTGAGATTGTAATAAACATTTTATTAAAAAGAAAAGCTTATTCCACCAGTTCAGCAGTGCAGCTACAAAGAACAGATCATTAGTTTTATTGCCGGGATAATCACCCTTAAATCAATCACTTCAGGTTAACAATTACAATGTCCGAATATTTTCAGAGTCAGATACGTAAACAAGAGCCCAGGCAGAACAAAAATCGTGATGACAACAAAATGACATCAAAATGACGGGCATAATGACCGAAATATGATGAGAAAATTAGTTTTCCTCATCACTGACGTCATTTTGATGTCATCATGATTTTGTTCTGCCTGGGAATATACTGAAAAAAATAACTTATATTGGGTGAGTGCAAAAGTTCGTGCGGAGTTTGTGAGTAAAAGTTACAGTGATTAGACAAACAAAAATCTTTATTCAATCAATGATATATTCTCCATCGTTTTCTATAATCTTTTCCCAACGTTCTGACAGCATACGGATGCCTCGATCATAAAAACTGCGCGGTTTAAATTCGAAAAACGAAGAGACGCCGTTTTTTAAGGCCTCCAAAGAGTCAAAGTTTTTTCCATTTAAATAATTTTGCAATGACCGGAACAAGTGATAGTCAGATGGTGCGATATCAGGAGAATACGGTGGATGCGTTAAGACATCCCATTTCAGGCTTTTCAGTTTGCGCAGCGTCTTTTTCGAAACGTGTGGTCTAGCGTTGTCGTGATGAAAGACGACTCCCTTGCGATTTGACAAAATCGGACGTTTCTCTTTTATTTCTCGATTCAGATTGGTTAATTGGCGACAGTACTTGTCCGAATCAATCGTTTCGCCAGCGGGGAGAAGCTCGAAATAGATTATGCCCTTGCTATCCCACCAAACAGAGAGCATCACCTTCATCGGGTGCAAACTGGCCTTTGGCATTGCGTCACCATGCTCACCTGATTGTTTCCATGTCCGTTTGCGCTGAACATTGTTGTAGAGGACCCATTTCTCATCGCCCGTCACTAGTCGATCCAAAAACGACTCGTTATTGAGCCGCCCGAGTAAAGAAACGGCTGCAGAAATTCGCTTGATTTTGTTCTCGGTCAGCAAATGGGGCACCCATATATCGAGCTTCAAATCGAATCCCATCTTTTTTAAACGCCGAAAAGCGGTTGATCGGTCAACGTTTAGTGCTGTAGCAACTTCTTCTATTGAAATTCGCGGATTATTGAGCACTAAAGTACGCAAAACATCGTCATCAATGTCAGAAGGTCGACCAGAGCGTGGCTCATCTTCAAGGTTAAATTCTCCGCGCCGAAATTTAGCAAACCATTTTTCCACAGTTCGTTTAGCTGGTGCTTCATCCTGATAAACATCCTGAATGTTTTTTACGGCTGCGGCAACGTTCATTCCCTTCCGAAACTCGTAAAGCATAACATGCCGTAAATGCACCTTGTCGATACTCATTTTTAAAGTGATATTTCTCGAAGCAGTTTGTATGAAAACAAATGATTTTTTTTTAATAACAGCTCAAGACGTCACCTTTCCAACGTTATATAATATGTAGATGGAAGTATTAATGACAACACTTTACGACGCTTATAACTCCATCTATTGAAACTCCGCACGAACTTTTGCACTCACCCAATAAAATGGTATGCTTATTGCTCATTATGATATTATCAAGTACGTTTCTATGTCTTTTCCATGGAATTCTCAGAGGAATGGAACGTGCGAAATGTACCGTGAGCTTAAATATTTGCTTTGTTCCTTTTAGCTATATATATACATACATATGAAAGATATTTCGACGAAGATATTTCCTTTTTGCGGTTCAAGTATTTATATGTATATTCTCAGTTGAAACATTTGCATTTTCAAGCATTTTTATAAGTATATATTCCTATACTTTTCAATAAAACAAAATATTTGTTAAAATCAATGTAATTTCATATTAATTATAGAAATTTTCGAATATATGGAGCAACAACGAGGTTATAAACGTTATCTCGACCCAGAATCCAATGAAAACATACTACGTAAATCCAAATATCGTAAAGAAATGTCTAAGGCAAGAAATATATTGGAAATAATACAGGTAACACAACGTTAACACTAATATTAAACTGATATATGTAATATATGCATAATCCTTGTACTCTTCATATAATTTGAATTGTCAATGAGTTGCAAGTGAATAGTTATCATTTGACAATGGAATTTTATAACGCATATATAAATAATTATTTTATCATTTCATAGGATAATGAAATACAACCGATAGTTTGTAGTAATAACCAGGAATCTTTGCAGTATAATATATTTGATACAGAAAATTGTGAAACAACAAATTCTAATGTCATTACTGAAGATGGGGAGCAAAGTAATACGATACTTGGTGTAAATAGAGAACTCAGAAGTTGTAATGTTGGTGAAACTTTACAAAGACTTTCCAATTCTCAGGTAGATATGATTCTACAGAATTAATATCCTATATAGTGCAAATCTTTCAAAGACATCCCTGAGACGCTCCTTGGAGATTTTATGTTATCTACATATTGGTGTTAAAATATTTCGTACTTTAATTAATTCTTTCAGGTCACAATAAACACAAGTTTCTGGAACATATGTGATAATACATCAAAATGTAATAATATACTTCTGGGAAAGCATTTATGTGCTTGTAAAAATACAACTTCTGCAGAAGCAATACTGATGTGTTTAAAACTAGGAATACGACATTCATTAGACTAGTGTAGCATTATTAATTGTTTGAATATGATTAACATTTTAAGCCAATGTAAGGTTCTTCCAAACACAACATATAAATTATTTAATATGTTTATTGGTGAAAGTAAAAATCTGAAGTATCATATATACTGCAAAAAGTGCTATCGATATATTGGTGAATTTTTAATATTACGTATTAATTATAAATGCGTTTGTGGAACAAAAGTTGGCTAATTAGAAAAAAAGTCATATTTTGTAATGTTCGATTTAAAAATACAATTAACAAATCTTTTACAAAACCCGCATATTTTTAGCGTTGCAATATAGATTTAATAGACAGAAAAATAGTGCTAACGCTTTAGAAGATTTATATGATGGTTCTGTATATAAAGAAATACCTCAATTACATTGTGAACAACAAAATATGTTGAATTTATCTTATATGTTTTAGATGGATGAATTTAGATGGATGTCAAGCTGCTAACTCCAGTAAAACAACAATTTTGCCAATTTATATAACAATAAATGAACTACCTCCATATTTACGATTTAAGAATATGCTACTTATTGGGTTATGGGCTGACAATTGCGAACCTTATATGAATATCTTTTTGCAGCCATTTATTAAATTAGCTAACGAATTATCAACTGTTGGATTTACATTACGATTACCAAATCATGGCCTAACTAATGTAAAAAAAAACTCTTCCCTATATGCTGTGCGACGTTTATTTCTAGACGCCGACAAATCGCCGTCGGTCCGCGCGCCACGGTCTCTCACCAAGCGAATGTTGGGCACCAGGTGCAGCGGGCTGCACCATTCACCAACACGAATTCTCTAACCACCAAGAGTTCGGTGACCGCGACGCGAGAGTCCAACGGGACCGGTAGCTCAGGATAAATTAAAGCCGGCAGACGGGTAGGGTTCGTCGGGAATCGGAAGGCGGAACGTACCGAAAAGAACCCAAAACGGGATATTTGGCGAGACTTTGATTTATTAAAAACAAAGAAACGGGAGACAGTAAACTCCGGTTCCTCGCAGTACGGTACACTGTTTTCCCCACGCTCGTACTCGCGAGGTCGAAACCGCTCCTCGCAACACCACGCTAACGCCTGACGGGACACGCCAACGACACTTCGCGACAAGAAGCAGGTGGACGGTCTTACATTTACGGGAACCTCCTGGCGGCGTGGTCCTCGACGGTCGGCGGGTCGGTCGATCCGGTCGTGCGGACACTGTCGCTCCTTCCTCCTCGGGAGTTCTTCCCTCGGTATCGTACGGCACTGCTTTCCTTTTTTGGTAGCGAGCGGAACACCACAAGCTCCTTTTGTTTTAGGGCGCTGATCATGGTAAAAGACTCGTCGTATCGAGCGGAACACCAAATCTGATTTTTTTTCCAAGCGGCACACACAAAACTCTTACGATCGGAAAAACAAACTGCACGTTTCGAAGCCCAAACGAATCTGAATCTCAAGAGGCGAAAAACCGATCTCTCTTCTTTTGCTCTGTATTCTTCTTCGGTTTTGCGAGGGGTTTCTCTTCTCCCCGTTCCTCGCCTATTCTAACAGTAGGATAATCCTTCCGCGGATCGTTGTTGTTGATTCGCGGAACTAGTTCTCTATCTCGCTCTCGCGTTTTCACTGTCTCTCTCTCTTTCTCTCCATCTCGATCCTTTGTCTGCTTGGTGTTCCGTGAGCATTGTCTTCGGCCGTCTAGCCGCTGTTTTTCGGCTATAGTGTCATGCGTCTGAAGCGTGCTCGCCGGCATCTTGTCTCGCTTCTTCCGTGTGGTCCCTGTGACCTGTATCATAACACTGCGACGCGATTTTCACTCGCCGTCGGCAAACGGCCGTCGGTCCACGCGTCTCGGCCGTTCACACTCTCACAAAGTGGTTGGGCGTCAGGTGCAGCGGACTGCACCGATCACCAACATGAAACGGAACATCACCAAAGGGCTGAGACACGCGAATTCGACGGGACCTGTAGCTCCTCGGTATTTTAAGTCGGTAGACGGGAGGGTTCGATCGGGAATCCGGGACGCAGTCGGGAAAACACAAGAATAGTAATGCGCGTTTTGATTATCTCACTTTTTATTCTTTCGGGAATCGGAACGGTCCGACCCCTCGATACGGTAAACTCTGCTGTGTGTTCTCGCGAATTCGAGCTTTGCTCTTCGCCGACAACTAAAACGAGACACGATACGCACGGGACACCGAAACAATAAAGCAGGTGGACGGTCTTACAAATTCGGGAACCTCCCGGCGGCGTAGTCCTTCGACCTCCTTCCTTTTCTCGCTCCTCCGCAATTCCGCCTCCCCCTGCAACCCCCTGGGCGCGTGGAACTCCACCAAACTCCTGCAGTCCACCAAACTCCTCCTCTCACGCCCGGTAAACGGTATCCTTATTCTTTCGCTAACGGTAAACGACACTCCTGTCTTAGGCGATACTCACTCCGCAGTACTCGGAAGTAGACTCACGAAGTAAGAGATAAGAAGAAAGAGCGAAACGGGAGTTCGCTCTTTTATTATTTTTCCAAAAGAAGTGTCTCGTCGTTCTTCTTTGTTGTGTCGAGCTACCCGTCTCTCCCCGTTCCTCGTTGGATCTCCCAATCCGGGAATCCTTCCGCGGATCTTTGTTTTCGATCCGCGGGACGGGTGCTCGGTCTCACTCTTTCGCGTTCTCCTTCTCGCTCGCGCTCCCGCGGTCTTTTCGCCTAGGCCGGCTTTGTTTAGCCGGCGATCACGCTTCGAGCACGGGAGCGACGACAGTTTCGCCGGATATTCCTGCGGGCCTGTGGACACGGGAACGGCAGCGAGAATCTTTTAAGGCGATACGGGAATCGGTAATATAGAAGGTGGAGCATTCACCTGAGGTGGCGGTCCGGTCGATGGGTGACGTCCTCTGGTTCCTCCGGTCTCGATGGGCGGCACAGGAGGTCCAGGGGCACAGAGCTCGGGGACGCGGGACCGTTCCATCTGCACGCTCCTATCACTAACATTAATTAATACGGGGAGGCAAGGCGACTCCTTCTCCCCCGAAATTCTCGCACGATATGTTCCCCTCCCCCCCCCGCAAACCTCGCCCAAGGACCGAGGGTCGCACTGTGACGGGCGCCTCCCCGGCTGCCACGTCACAACACATACGGCAGCGGTAATTCCTTTCGAGACGGCACATAATTCGTTAATCGGAAAAGAGGAAAAGAGAGCAGTCACCTGAGGTGCCCGTACCTGGCCGAGGGCGATGTCTTCCAAGTCCTTTTGATCCTCTGGTCCTGGTGGTCGGCTCGGGAGCTTGTGGTCCAAGGGCACAAAACTCGGGGGCGCGAGACCGTCGCACCTGCACGCTCTTAATTCTAATTTTAATTGAATTCGGGGGTACGCACTGTGACGGGCGCCTCCAAGGCCGCCACGTCACAGCTGTTGTGTTGATTCTGTTACTAGGGCAGCAATATTAAATATGAAACAATTCAACGGCTGGTATGGATGCACTTTTTGCGAACATCCAACAGAACGTGTAGATAATCAGCAAAAATATCCAATGTTACATTTTACTCTATGCAATAGAACAGATGCATCAATAAAAAGAAATATGATAAATGCATACTCAATGAATAAAAGAACAAGGAAAAAACAAGATTTTAAAGGAGTATGGGGTCCGTCATGTCTTATTAATCTGAAATATTTTGATTTAGTTAAAGGTATGGTATCAGATTATATGCACAGCGTTCTGTTAGGTGTTATGAAACAGTATACTGAAATTATTTTATCACCACTAAATAATAACAAAGAATTTTATGTAGGAACACCATCTCATATAGATATAATAGACAATACTTTAATGAAAATAAAAATCTCTAAATTAATTACACGATATCCTAGAAGTATAAAAGAAAGAAATTTATAAAAAGCATCTGAATGGCGAAACTAGTTAAATTGGTATAGTTTGATTGATCTAAAACCAATATTACCGTCAAAATATGTAAAACATTTAGCTTTGTTAATTATTGCTATTAATATATGCTTGCAAAAGTCAATAACGTTACAAATGATTGAATGTGCACAAAACTTATTAGTGAAAGTTATTAGTTATTAGTTAGGAAGTTATTAGTGAAGTTTGTACAATTATTTCAGAAATTTTTTGGTAAAAATCAAATGACATATAACGTTCATCTTCTTCTACATATTACCACTTCTATAAGAAATTGGGGCCCATTATAGACACATAATGCTTTTCCGTTCGAAAATGAAAATAGATTACTTTTAAAATTAAAAAAAAGTCCCAAAGATATAGCTGTACAAATTTCGCGCAGATTTATGTTTTATAAATTAATATCAAATTTATCAGTAAATGACATTCCATTAAATGTGAAAAATTTTTGTAATTCAGCTATACAAAATCAAGTTAAATGTTATTATAACATTAATAATTGTACATTTGTGGGATGCGGAAAAAATTATATTTTGACAGTAGAAGAGAAAACTTGTTTAGGCTATACAGTACATTCTTGCAAAAGTTATAAAAAAATTATATATAATAATATCAGATATACATGTTATGCATTGCAACCGCACCTATCGCGTAGGCGGCGGGCAATTAGTCGCGGCGATCTCTCAGTCGCCCTCCGTCGCTGCTCCCTAAAATTCCCTAAAAAAACATCGCAGTGACCAAAGTTGGGCGCCAGGCACGTAAATCGTACCCACCAACACTAACGATACTATTAGAGACGGGGAGACGACCTGATCGCCCACGAGACCGACAGCTCCTTATAATTTTAGTCGGAGTGGGGAATGGGTTCTGCTGCGGGAGGCAGAGGGATAGGAGGCGTAGAATAATGAAAAGAGGCCACCGAATTTCGGATGTAAAAAAAACAAGAAATGTATTTTCCTCCGTTTGACAACAGGAGTACAAAAGAAAATCGCCTCGATAACAATCGGTGGCGCGCGTACCACTTATCGACTTCACATAGTGACTCCCAGCGGAGAGGCGACAACGACAACGGCTCGCTCTCTCGTCCCCAACTCCGCGATCTCGATACCCGCGATTGAGAGAGAGACCTTCGCTCCCCGCGTTCCGCGGAACGGCCGCCAGACAGCTTCGGCTATCGATATTACACATACAAATTTTCGCTCACAATCCGACAGCCGCTGGACGGTCACGCCTCGCACACAGTTCACACGACAACGGAGTGATACAACAGGGTGCTCTTACAAATTCGAACACCTTTGGCAGCCTCCGCAGCCGGTGTCACGCTCCTCCGCTCTCGGTTGCTCCGTCAGCCGCTTCTCCTCTTCGTCCCCTCCGCTCTCGCTAGCTCGCTCTCTCTCTCCGAACACTGTGCCCTGTCCGGTATAATGCACCCGGTAGCGCTACTTCGGCGTCGACTAACTCGCCACATACGGTTCTCCGTACTCAATCTCGCGGTACCCTCACGACGCACCCAAAACGAAATGCGATAGCAGGTGACTTGAGTCTCGATATTTCTTTTAATCCTTTTCCTTTCCCGTTTTCCGAAACTCAACTCTACGTCGCTCGATATCCGTGTCTTCGCAAGGAGTGTCTCTCTCATTTTTGAGTCTCGCAGACGTTCCAGCCGAAATCTCCGCTCCGTTTTTTTTCTTCCTTCTCTCTCCCTCTTTCTGGTCGAATCACGCGCTGCCGGGATGAGTTCCAATATTCTTCTCTATTTTCTCTCTCCTCGTCCGCGTGATCCCGGCTTCTTGTGTATGTGCTGCCTCATTGTTTGTTTTCCTCGCTGTCGAAAATACACGAATATAAATCGGCAGCGGTATTACGGTAACGGCAAAAATCCTTCGCCAACGGAAACTTGTAACGGAACAAAGACGTCACCTGAGGGGAGGACTCGCTGTCTTCCCGGCGGCTCCTCCACTCCTTCCCCTGGCGGTCCGATCCTCTTTCTCCGCTGCTCCTGCTGGTCGGAGGCTACCCGCAGCGAAAGGGCACACACGCTTCGGGACGCGGGAGTACCACACGAAAGAAACTAAAAGAAAGCAATCTCGCCCTCACGGTACGAGATCGCTAGCCCAAAAGGGGACATCTCCCCGGAAATCTTATCAAGAGGCACACTGTGCCTATTCTTACGCGAAACTGCGAGTTGAAACGAGGTGAGATATTCATATCTTAGGAATGGCTGAACCGATCGACGTTTTTTAGTCCCAATCAATTCAGCCTTAAAAAATAGGAAGAAAAGTTCTTGTGCTTTTGTGTACGTTGTCTCTAAGTTGAGATATTTTAAGATTAAAGTCTGAATCACAGAAATTACGATTCAGTAAGAAAGTAAGAAAGAAACGCTAGACCGCCGAGGAGAGGGGATTTATGTTTCTCGTTTTTCCGACACCAGAGGTGTTACGAGCGCGCTGAAGATGCAAAGAGCAGCGAGTGCGAGTGAACAAGCGATAGAGAATAAGAGAGAGACGAATAGACCGCCGAGGAGAGAGGATTTGTACTTCTCGTTTTTCCGACACCAGAGGCGTTACGAGCGCGCTGAAGAAGTAAAGAGCAGCGAGTGCGAGTGAGCAAGCGATAGGGAATAAGAGAGAGAAGAATATCGGGTTGGTAGAACAGGAGGTGAAATAAAAATAAAATATTGCTAGTTTATTTATTTTATATATATTATATTATACAGCACGTGAATTCGAGTCGAACACGAGCAAGGTGATTGCAACGTTGGTAGTTTACGTCGAACAATGAGCGACAACGAAGGTTTGACAATCGCGCATTTCGGTTTTGAAGCTTCCTAACCTCAAAGATATCACAATGCTGCGCTCACATTTTCGACTGAAAGTTGACTTGTCCAAGTTTTTTCACGATGTGCGTCGGATCTGCTAAATTTGTATTGATTGATCACTAATATATTTGGTATAAGAGAACCATTTCATTTGTTGTTGAATGATGCCGAATATCTGCCACCGATGGAGGATATTCGCATTCTCATCGAAAACAAGACGATCAAGTAAGTATAATTCTTTTAATATAAAGTTTTAAACTTAACTTTTCATATATTTTTAGTTCAAATAGGTTTTATGTGTTTATTCATTAATATTATTTGTATGTCATTAATAGATAGAGTAATCCCTGGATCTGGCATATAGAACGAAGTTTTAAATGCATTAGTTACTGTATATCAGATAATTACAAAACTTTCTCTAAGGTTAAAGCATGTCATAATATTTCACACGATAAGGTTGTCGAAACAACAAATGTTATGACTGAGAAAATAAGAATAAATGCAAGTAATGGATTGGATATATCTGACGATTCTTTGAATGATACAGATTCAGCTTTGATATGTTAGTATATCTTATAATACAAGAAATGTAATGTTTACTACTACAATTGATTATACAGAAGCAGATGCAGATTCATCTTTTCAAAGGTTACAGATTACAGTAATATAAATGAAAGTTGTAATACATTCAAATTACAAAACACAAATTATATGAAAGAATATTAAAAATAAATAAAAGATAAAAAAATATATATTTCAATAAGGTCGTCGGCCCCTTCTTTCTCTTCGTGCACTATATCTGAACAATTTTCCAATTGTTTGTATAACAGATAATATAGTTTATCTGCGATATCTGCCACCGATGGAGGATATTCACATTCTCATCAAAAACGAGATGATCAAGTAAGTATAATTTTTTTTAATATAAAGTTTTAAACTTAACTTTTGATATATTTTTAGTCCAAATAGGTTTTATGCGTTTATTCATTAATATTATTTGTATGTAATTCATATAATCTTATTCTTATAGAGTAATTCCTGGATCTGGCATACAGAACGAAGTTTTAAATGCATTAATTACTGTATATCAGACTAATAATTACAAAAATTTCTCTAAGGCTAAAGCATGTAACAATATTTCACACGATAAGGTTGTCGAAACAACAGATGTTATGACTGAGAAAATAGGAATAAATGTAAATAATGGATTGGATATATCTGACGATCCTTTGAATGATACAGATTCAGCTTTGATACGTTAGTATATTTTATTTATATTGCACTAAAACAAATATAATAATCTTTATAATATAATTAATGAATTATATTTATTTTTAGATAATACAAGAAATGTTATGTTTATTACTGCAATTGATTATACAGAAGCAGATGCAGATTCAAAGGTTACGGATTAAAGTAATATAAATGAAAGTTGTAATACATTCAAATTACAAAAAACTAATTATATGAAAGAATATTAAGAATAAATAAAAGATAAAAAAAATATATTTCAATAAAGTCGTCGGCCCCTTCTTCCTCTTCATGCGCTATATCTGGGCAATTTTCCAATTGCTTATATAACAGATAATATAGTTTGTATCTGCGATATCTGCCACCGATAGAGCATATTCACATTCTCACCGAAAACAAGACGATCAAGTATAATTTTTTTTAATATAAAGTTTTATACTTAACTTTTAATATATTTTTAGTTGAAATAGGTTTTATGCGTTTATTCATTAATATTATTTGTATGTAATTAACTTACAATCTTATTCTTATAGAGTAATTCCTGGATCTGGCATACAGAACGAAGTTTTAAATGCATTAGTTACTGTATATCAGATATTAATAATTACAAAAATTTCTCTAAGGCTAAAGCATGTTACAATATTTCACACGATAAGGTTGTCGAAATAATAGATGTTATGACTGAGAAAATAGGAATAAATGCAAGTAATGGATTGGATATATCTGATCCTTTTAATGATACAGATTCAGCTTTGATGTTAGTATATTTTATTTATATTACACTAAAACAAATTGAATTTTTATAATATAATTAATGAATTGTATTTATTTTTAGATAATAATAAATAAATGTAATGTTTACTACTGCAATTGATTATACAGAAGCAGATGCAGATTCAAAGGTTACGGATTATAATATTCACTTATATATTATATATTATTATTATATAGTATTTACTGTTTTTTGCAGACTTTGAAACTTGTCGATGACTATATACCTCAGATATCCAATTTTATTACAGGCGAGGTATTAAATTCCTGTATAAGATAATAAATATTGGAAATGTGTTAATATATTATACGCGTATAAATTATT